AAGACTCAAAGCTTTGGAAACCCTATGGGTTGCTATGAGTCAGAATCAACTCAATGGCAATGGGTTTTTGGTTAAAGGGGAGTAGACTTATCTCACTGTCAGTGTTGAATTTTATCTGAGCCCTATTCTCCTAGAAAGCAGCATTGGTTAAGAAACTCATCCTTTTGTGCTCCAAGGACCACCTTGCCCTGGCATACTCTGATATAAGACCCATCTACATCCTTCCTTGTGATTCTCATAAGACTCGTGGATGACTCCCTTGCTTGCCTGCCTCAAAAAACACCAAAGTTCTCATCCTTTTCTTTGAGATGTTCCTCATTAATTAACATTCTCCCATGCAATAGCCTGAATAATAATGTCTGCAATTCAGAAAGGCCTTTACCTCTCATTGTGTACATAATACTTTCCTACGCTCTGGAGGTTGTTACCAAATTGAATTATAAAATCCCTTATATTAATGGAGCTCCATTCTAACTGGAAGAGCTCTGGTGGCACTGTGTTTAAAGCACTGGACTGCTAATGAAAAGTTGACAGTTCTAACCTACCAGCCGCTCAGTGGGAAAAAGATGAGGCAGTCTGCTCCTGTAAAGATTTACAGCCTTGTAAACCCTATGGGGCAGTTCTACTCTCACCTATGGAGTCATTATGAGTTGGAATTGACTCGATGGCAGTGAATATTCTAATTAAATTATAGAAACAAATAAGCACTTACATAAAATGAATATTCCTAAAATTCCCAGAAAATAAGGATATTGAACTTCTAAGACTTTCGATGTGCTTAAAAAGCTATTCTTATAGAAGTAATTCGATGTTTTAAGAATTCAAGTTCATATCATCTAGGTAAATCTTTGGGAAATAAGACTTTTAATAATTTTTAATAAAAATACCTATGCCTTTTCCAATTTATCAATGTTAAGCACATGTAGATTGTTATACTACTCTGGTATGTTCAAACTTAAACAGGCTTCCTGTTTGATTAAACTAGCAATACTTCTACTAAATGATTAACAAACCCCCCCAAAAAAAATCAGCTCCGACTCATAGCGACCCCTCCTTGGGTTTCCGAGGTGTTATCACTACAGAAGTAGATTGCCCAACAGTGGCATTATACTGACAAGTTTATTTCAGCAGTAATTATGTTTTATAGTATGTCAGCATGAAGATAATTTACAAGATCTTTATTTTACTGAAAATCCTGGCTTGGTATGAAATTGAATTAAATAATGAATGTTCATTAGATAGATACATCGTTTCTAAATAAGAGAATGTTGAAATACTATTCAGTGAAATTTTTGGCTTATATATTTTGCTTCCTATTTTTACAAAAAGGCTACACATAATTGGGTCTGTTGATGAATGTGTTCATTTTTGTCATTTTAAGAAATAGTACTATGAAAGAACTATATAGATACAGAAATTTGTAGAAAGTTTGCAGAAAGAGAATTTTATTTGTTGAGGTCTAAGCTGGCTCTGGTAGCATAGTGCCTAAGGCATTTGACTGCTAACCAGAAGGCTGGTGGTTCAAACCCACCAGTCACTCCTTGGAAGGAAGATTGGGCAATCTACTTCCGTAGTGATACCACCTCGGAAACCCAAGGAGGAGTCTCTATGAGTTGGGTCCAACTTGATGGAATATAACACCACCACCACCAACAACAAGCTGGCAAAATTTGGATGTATTTACTTAGAAGATTGTATCAAATACTATACTGCTGCAAAACTAGAATTTGGCTTTCTGTCTGTTAAAATGACAATTTCTTGGATTACTGGTTTGTTCATTATTTTTATTGTATTTTGTTGTTGAGAATATACACAGCAAAACATATACCAATTTAACTGTTTCTACATGTACAATTCAGTGACATTGATTACATTCTTAGAGTTCTCATTCTTACCCCTCCTTTTCTGAGTTGTTCCTCCTCCATTAACATAAACTCGCTGCCTCCTAAGGTTCCTATTAAATCTTTTGAGTTGCTGTTGTCACATTGATCCCATATAAATAGTTCTCAAAAGAACACAATGCTCAAGGCAAACATTCTTTACTAGTTAAGTTAAACTACTGTTTGGACAGTTTTGGTTTAAATTTTAAAGATCTCAGGGAAATAGTTCCAGGAGTTCATCCAGCCACCATGGCTCCATTATAGCCTGGAGTCCATGAGAATTTGAAATTCTGTTCTGCATCTTCCCTTTTTTCATCAGGATTCTGTTATAGAATCTTTGATCAAAATGTTTAGTAATGGTAGCCAGGCACCGTTCTCATGGCAAAGAAGGTAGCAATTAGCCCCACATTTCATATTTTACTCATAATCCTGACTCTTCTTCTTGTGCTGCACCACGTGAACAGAGACCAATTTCTACACCTTAGAAGGCTGACTGCAAGCTTTTAAGACCCTAGGCACTACACAATGAAGTAGGATGTAGAACCAAACTCCAAACCAAACTCACTGCCATGGAGTCAGATCCAACTCATAGCGACCCTCCTTGGGTTTCTGAGACAGTATCACTACAGAAATAGATTGCTCAATCTTCCTCCCGAGGAGTGGCTGGTAGGTTTGAACCACCAGCCTTCTGGTTAGCAATCAAATGCCTTAGGCACTATGCCAACACAGGAAATAAAAATGTTATTAGCCCAATTAACTGGGATGTTCAAAGAAACCATGACCCTAAAACATGACTCTAAAATTCCAAACCAAGGAATCCAATAACATGAAGGTTTTAGTTGTATA